GGACTTGCTGTCACATTAGCACCTTTGAGGACCCAGACAATAGAACCAGAGGTATTCATCCCCACATCTTATTTTAGCAAAGGCTTGCTTTCCCCGGTCACTAGTTTCCCTGGAACTGGCTTCTCCCACCATAGTTTCTGATTCTTGATGGAACTGGCCATGGTGGTGGACACTGTGGGGACTGAAGACATCTCTAGTTTTTTGAAAACCTAACAATCCTGTTAGAAAATATGTTTATTATATTGATCCAAGGTTTTATTTTGTGTTGTGGTGAGGGGACTCAATGAGATCTGGAACCATACACTCTCCTGCATCCATGTTGGATACTGAAATATTCAATTAGAAATGGAACTATACACTCCTACATCCATGCTGGATACTGAAATACTCAATTAGAACTAGAACCATACACTTTCCTATATTCATGCCTGACGCTGAAAAACTCAATTAGAACTGGAACTATACATTCCTGCATGAACGAACACATCATGGTTGATAGTTGAACAAGCAGCAGCTATTATTGTAATTGGTTTTTAATAAGTACATGTGATTATTTGAGTATTTATCTTATTTATTGCTTTAAGCATATGTAACTATTTTTCCCATATTCATATGTAGAGAAATGTGGAGGAAACTATTCAGATACTAAGTAGTCATGTAGAGTCTCCCTGCTTTCTGTATAACCAGTTGACCAAAAGAACTCAGGATTGTAGATTATTATTCAATTTTCCCCAGACTCCTAAAATCTGAAGAATCATGGGTGCTACAATGCTTGTAGACTGTGGATTGTGAATATTTATTTGCCTGCTATGACAAAACTGTATTTTTGATATGGGAAAGCATGCATGTGGTACCGAACCCTAAACTACAAGGAAGAAAGCCAGCAAAACAGTTTCCTCGTTGCTGTTCTCAGTGCTGCAGGGATCCAGTCAGCGAACAAGGTTACGGTTTCTGATCCCTCAGGTCTTTCCGTGCATATTGATCACTCATACCGAGTGTTTTTTTTATGTTTGAATGATTCAGAAGTAGTTATGTTCCTTAAAAGAAGTATTTTAAATTCTTCAAAATATGAGATACTAGAGTACTGATTCTTAGCTGTCATGGGATGCATATCTGCACAGATGCATGCTTGCTTGTGTGTGTCTTTGCACATTTGTGAGGGCGTGTGTATCTTAAGTAGATAAATAAATCAACATTGTGAGCTGCTGACAGATATTTCCTTTTATTATTTGAGGCCATGATGAAAATACAAACTATAGCTAGAACCAGGACAAGCTAATGTCATGGTTTAGTGTGTTTCTGATACTTTTTAGATGATATGTCAACTGAGGAAGCATAAACCCCAATTCTGTAAAGAAATGATTTCTTATCATTTAAAAGCAAATTGTGTCTCATCTATTCAGGAGGCCATCAGGGAAATGTGAATTACTGAGAAAGTAGACTTAATGCTTCAAAATTGTATTGCATCTTTACCTAAAATCCACAATTGTATATAATACTAGAATAGTGTAAAAATTATGAAAATAGAATATTCAAGGTTTGCGAGTGGAGAATGACAAGGAAAAATATCTCCCAGAATATATAAAACTAAATGAAAAAAAAATCACTAAAGAATATTAGTAGAGGAAATTAGGTTCCATTATTAGGGGAGGAGAGCTGCCTTAATTAATAAAATTATTTCTTCTACAGTACTTCATTTTTAACAGTTTAGTGAAGGTAGGATGGGATAATGGGAATAATAGTCCTCATGGCTGTGCAATTGTGCATGCTTTGTGATTTTTATAGTATAATGAGTTCTAAAGACATTTATCACACAGGAACAAATCCCCTGAATCCTCAACAAACTTTGTGGTGATAAAAGTTAATGCATATGTTGAAAATATCCAAGAGCCATAGTAAGATATGAAATAAAACATAAGATTTACATTTGTAACACATCTTAGAGCTTGCCTTTAAAATTCTAGGGGAGAATCAGAATAGTATTACGTGAAACACATCAGCAGCCTCTGAAGTTTCAAAGGGCTGGAAGACAGAGCAGGAGGCTCTGTGTTCAGTTTCCACTTTGATAACTGGAGGGCTGCTCTGTAAGGTCACAATGGAATCAAGGTATTTTTTGATGAGAATAAGAGAAGGAAAAGAAAAAGGCGAAGTACTGCCTCCAACCACGGGGCTGGTGCTTAGGCGTTATCCAGAGACCTTCCTCTTCTGAGAGGAAAATCAGCAGTCAGCTATGGGTGTGTAGAGCCACCATCGATGACAAAGCAGGTGGGGGTCATTCTAAGTGTCAGTAGGGCACAAGGAATGCAGGTAGACAGGCAAGCGCCAGTGTGAAGGAGGACGTCTGCGGTTTGTGGGTTTGTGAATAGTTTGGACTCCAAGCAAGTCTGGTGTTCCTCTACTGCCTCTTGTCCTGCATTCTCCATTCATGTAGCAAATGTCTGTCATATACAAAGTGTGTCAGCCTTCTGGGGAGCCCAAAAATCCTACACAGAAGCCGAGTGTAGCTCCTGAAAACCCCAAATCTGTGTGAGGACCAGAAATGGTCTCATAAAAGACATTGCTTTCACATTGACTGAAAAGTGAGTCTGCTTTGATTTCAAAGGATGCTTCTGAGGACTGTACCAATCTCACATCTTACAGTGTGCCTGCTGTCACTGTTGTGGTTCAGAATCAACTCTGAAGTGGCTTGCTTGTTGATTTGCAATCACATTGGGACATCCCAGCACTTTGTGTTAGGGCAGTTTGGATTTCCACATAATCTTTTAAAGATGGAATGTCCTTTATACATGGAATGTTAGGCTTTAGAGAATTAGTTTGAAATAGTCCTAGAATTTTACCCATTTTTCCTGCCCTGCCCCTCTCCCCTAGACAACAGGGAGAGAAAACCAAGTATAACACTTGGGACCAAACCATAAAATTAAGTCACATCAGGAAACAAAAACAAAAGGAAAAAACAGAGAAAGATCTGAGTGCATACACAAACCACAGCCTCTGTGAACTCACATAAAAATAAGAGGGAGACAGGCACTGTGGCAGTTTCAGAGTGGGGCATTATTCACAGGAAAACAGCGAGATTCACTACGGAGGACATTATTCTTCAGAGAGTGACAGGGTCTCATTCACAGCACCAGGACTGATGGTGCATGCACAGCCAGCTTGCCAAGCAGCACAGCACTGGGATGCAGGTCCCCAACGGTGAACTGAGATCATTGCTGAGGACACTCAGAGATCACATAAGGGACACTCTGTTTGCTCTCTGGGAGATGCAGTTCATCTGCACTAATTGCAGGCTTAGGAGCCTGGAGAAGGCAGCTCTGTGCCCACATACTGTATTCCCTTTGTTGGGGAGCTCTCATGGGCCGCTCCTCCAGGCATTGTGTGTGTGTATTAACAGAGAGCCTTTAAAATATATGTGCATTTCTAATTCTTTGCACTGGGCTTACTCATAGCTGCTGAGAGGAAGCCAGTAGATAATAGCGAATCACTTTCCGGAAAACTTTAGCAGATAACTTACGTAAGAAAAGAAGTGCAAAAAATCCAACTACTGTAAGTTCCTAGCACTTCACTTTTCTGAAGAATCCAATCTTTGGATTATAGCTACTTATCTATTAACAGTCTGTCTTTTTAGTGTTTTCAAAATTTGGGAGATCAGATGCTTTCGTCCATAAAAATATTTACTTGAAAGAAGACTGTAGAGTACTTTTCTTTATATTATAGAAAGACTAGAAGATGAAGCCAGGCACCAAGGCCCACACACCTAGAATCCCAACACTAGGCAGGTGAGAAGAGTGGTTTGTGAATTTGATGCTCTTCTGTGACTCATAGTGAGTTCCAGACCATCCTGGGCCAGGCAGTGATACCCTTTCTCAAAAACAAAATAAACATAACAAACAAACAAATGAAAGAAGCAATAACAGCATAAATTAAAACTGGGAAAATAGTGTTGTTAAAGGCATTGGTTAATATAAAGCAATAATGAAAAATTATAGTCAACACAGTACAGATTTGACAGGCTCTAGATGGTTGTTGCAACTGATGAAAACACAAAGGTTAAGAACCTGAAGTATTTAAAGACACATGTCCCAATGGTGATTTTGATTGCCAACTTGTGTTAACATTGACAAAGAAGATAAGTAAAGCAGAACTCAGGAAGTATCTATGGGTAAAAACTAGTCCTACTCTTAAAACTATATTCCATATGTCTACAAACAATAAACCTAATTTGGCTGCTTATAAGCTTTACCAAAATGAACTATTTTCTCTTTGCAAATTTAGTGTTTTGAATAGATACTCCAAAGTTAGACCTAATAATCTGAATATGGGAATTCTATTCTAAGCGCTAGGAATATAGCTCAGTGGTGGGGTCCTTGCCTAGCATGTACAAGGTCTGGGGCTATATTCCTTGAACTTCAAAAAACCAACAGTAACAAAAAATCATGTCTTTTTTATTTGATATCACAATCTTCTATTTCTAAAGGTAATTGTTCATATAAATCTGAATACACACACACACACACACACACACACACACACACACACACACACACACACACATCTACTCAACCTTAGCACACCAAACGGGGCTGAGGAGAGTAAACTGTTGCTATGGAAGCAGAATGAACTGGGATCCCCAACACCCAAGTAAAATCTGGGTATGGTGAGATGCATTTACAACCCAATGGTTAGGTTAACAGAGACAGGAGGATCTGGCGGGGCTCCCTGACCAGCTAGGCTAGCCAAATCAGTGATGTCTAAGTGAGAGACCTCCGCTCAAAAGATAAGGTGAAGAGCAATATAGGAAATCATCAATATTTACCTAGGATCTCCATACAGGCAAACGTATGCAATTGTACCCCTCACCCACTCATGAGTGTGTGCACACACACATGTGAGTACACACACATAAGCGAGCACATATACAAACACACCAAATTTTTTTTAAAAAAAATATAAAAATATAACAAAAAGCTGGTAATCTTATAAAGGATATAAAGACTGACCTGGTGTTATGACTTCGCCATTTCCATTGACCACAGGCCTTTCTTCCTCCTCCTCCTCTGGAGGCTCTATACTTGCTTTCTCCATGTTGCTCACTGATTTATTTCTCTTCCGTTTCCCTTCAGCACTTGGAGTAGCTCCCGGAAGTATCTGGTCTGTTACATTTAATAATAATGGTGCTGGTTCAGCTGGAGGCTTTGGGGTACCGTAGTAGTTGTCTGCAAAAGATACCCAGATATTCTAGAGTTAAATTGTTCCCCTATATGTGTGTGTGTGTGTTTTAAAGAATGGAAATTATATCAATTTGTGTTATATTTATCGATCAACACAAATTGCACATATATGGTTTTATAAGCACATATTATATATCTTTATTTCTATTTTACTGTGCTCTAATGCTATATTACTATCATCTTTGAATGCTTTAATGTATTGAGCTTTCAAACTAGAGCTGTGTCCATCATTTTCAGATGGCAAATTGTTAATTTCAAATCTATTTAAGTCAATTTCACACTAAGTCCTCAAATCTATTTAAGCCTAAAAAAAAAAAGTTAGTCCTAAGGAATACAGGTAATCTTTGGTTTTGTTTGTATTTTCAAGTCTCGCATCATTCTGGAAAGGCAAAGGATGCTTAGCTTTCCTCTCACCTCAGGAGGGCTCTGGCTGGTGTTCTGCACAGAGCTGTACCTTCATGCCAGTCCATAGCTCCCGAAGCTGTGGGCTATGACGTGCTCCTCTCATTATCCTTTAGATTATAATTGCCCTTTTCTCACAGTGACACTATCTGAGCTGTTGGGTAACTCCCCCTTGCCCCTTCCCTCCTATGAGAGTTCATTAAGAAAGAAAAAAATTCTTATGTTTTTTCAGCCTACAACATGTTTTATTTTTTTAACATGTTATTTAATATTTATACATGCATATAATGTGTTTGGATCATATCCACCCCCAATTTATCCCCTCAAAATCCTACTTATCTCTATAACAAGAGGCTGGCATATAACAGACATGTATCAAATATCTGTTAAATAACAGAATTGTATGTTTGCCTTTGCATGTTCAAGAATTTATTTAAAGTGTTTAAGAATGTGATTGGCAAAGAACATAAGTGTTATTTTGAGAAATCATTTTCAAATTTTAGCTCCAATTTCACACCTGTGTATGTATGTTTAGTTAACTGAGTAATTGATGGGCTCCTGTATTCCATTATTAAGATCTTTATTAGCACTGACTGTGCACCCAAGCATTCCAGTGCATGTGTGAGAAACTGTGATGATTACAATAAGATCTTTATCTTACAAAAAGATAATAATCTAGTATGGAAGATCAAATTTGGCATCAAGTAGGCAAGCATTATAATGGAAAATGGGACCAAGTCCTGTAAGGAGACAGAAGAGAGATGGAGTACAACTGCCTATCTGCACAGGTCACTGAGATCATCCAGGAAAGCAGCCTGTTGTGCAGAAACAGCTCTTAAAGTCAAAGATGCAGTGTCTAGATGAGTCGCTCTGGATAATGGTAATTGAAGCAAATTACCGAACCTCAATAAGGCTCAATTCCTTTATGTGTAGGCAGGGAGCAGTAGTCACTTGTGTTATGGCTTGTAAACAACCAAAACCTATTACCTATTAACCGAAGTTAAAACACAATGGGTGTGAGAAAGTTAAAAAGATATGGGATGGGTATTTGACAGGGAATGCTCAAAAATGTTTAGAAAGTGAGTGGAAACAAAGGAGTCAGGAAGGAGTCAAGTGAGGACACAGTGTTGACTTTTTTTAAAGATGGGGTCTGAGGCTGGACTGTACTCAATACATAGTTAAGACTCATCTCAATTTTTGGTTGTCCTGCTTTCATGTTCAAGGTGCTGGGACTATAGGCATGTACCATACACCCTGTAATAGGTGGTTTCTTTGTTGAATCTGCACACAAATTGTCTTTAGGTGAATGAATTCCAAACCCTGCTTGGCTGCTTTGATTTGCTCAAGTCCAGTGAACACACCCAGCAGGATTGTTATTGGCTGAGCCTCAATCATGGGAGTATGAGTCAGCTGCCAAGGTATACAAAATGTCTGCTCTACTTTGATTTCAGAAGAGGGAGGTGGTGATGATTGCCAACTTGAATGGATTTAAAACTGACTTTTAGATTAGGGTGGGGTGATTGACTTGTGAACAACTGAAGGGAAAGACTGGCCCTGAAAGTAGGTGTTGATCAGTAAGCTTGGGGCTGAGGTGCATAAAAGTGGGAAAAAAAGAGGAAGCCAGAAGTCATGACTCCAGGATTCCTGGGTGAGTACCCATATGGCTGCTGCTGTCATCTGTAGACATTAGACTCCAGAATCATCAGACTGTCCACGTCCACCCCACATTGCTCCTAAGGCTTCCACTTAGAACTGGGATTCCCATTCATTTCCTTGTTCTGCAGCTTCTAGCTTCTTGGACTAATCAGCTATTGAGTTTCTGGATCCCCAGCCTACAGATTAGTTTCTGGCTGTAAAAGTCTGTCTAATAAATCATCTTTTGCTGTGGGATGTTCTGTATGGCAAATGTGTTGCTAATTAGTCAATAAATAAAACACTGATTGGCCATTGGCTAGGCAGGAAGTGTAGGCGGGACAAGGAGGAGAATAAAGCTGGGAAGTGGAAGGCTGAGTCAGAGAGACATTGCCAGCCGCCACGATGACAAACAGCATGTGAAGATGCCAGTAAGCCACAAGCCATGTGGCAAGGTATAGATTTATAAAAATGGATTAATTTAAGCTGTAAGAACAGTTAACAAGAAGCCTGCCATGGCCATACAGTTTGTAACCAATATAAGTCTCTGTGTTTACTTGGTTGGGTCTGAGCGGCTGTGTGACTGGCAGGTCAGAGAGATTTTTCCTGACTGAGGGCCAGGCAGGAAAACTCTAGCTACAATCTTTTATAATAATGTATATACTCTATTGGCTTAATTCCTTTAGCTAAGTTGAATGTAGAGGTGGAGCCCTTCCTTCAACCCATCTTATCTCTGTAGTCTCCTCAGACAGTAATATCCTTGAGATGTCGGGTAGGCAGAAACAACACATGCTCTGTCTACAGGTCCTCCATTTTGGGTTGTTGTTAAGATAAAGCTGGTGTATATGGAAAGAGTGTCATAAGCTGTAAAACTGTGCTGGATGTAATGGTGATGAAACCTCATGCTGGAATGAATTGACCAGCCATGCTATTAATGCATGTTAATGTTCATATTTGCAGATACTCAGACACTTCACAAAAATTTTACTTTGTAAAGTGGACTTTAAGCAGACATTTGAAAAGATGATATACATTTTGCTAAGGACTACTTTTAATTTGATTCACAGAATTTCAAATAAATCAAAACTTTATATATGGAGGCCAAACAAAAAAGACTAATTGTTGTGTCTACTCAATGAACATATATTTCATCATTCTTAATGGGTAGCAAAATTCTAAGCACATCATTACACTTTCTGGGAAATCTCAACATATACTTATCTAATGGATATAATGCCAAAATAGTACATAGCTCCTACCTACCTCAATGAACAATATGAGTTTAAATAGTGTCTGCAATGGTTGATACTCTTAGATATACACAATACTAAGAAAAATATATCAAACTTCAATATTTTTCTCCATGTATTTTTATGTTATAATATTCCTAGGTAAATTACCTCTTAGTAATTAGAAATAAATGCATAGACAGGCTAAAATAAATATTAAATAACAGATCTTGCTGAATCAATATTATTAAATAATTACATCTATTGGTATGGCATGATTATAAATTATATAGTAATATTCTTTTACTATAATTAGTTTTATGAAATTATATGTGAGTTGAAATGCTAGATGTGAAACTGGATAAATCATTAGTTAAGATGTTAAGATTATCATCATTAGAAAAATGCCAGTTTGTAAAAGGTAACAAAATAATCTATATATTTACTGCACTAGAAAAATATAATTCACGGAGAAGGAGCTCTGATACCAAAGTAGGATTTCTATTGTCTTGTCTAAGAAGCACCTGGACCAATAGTGGAAGATCAACCAGACAGCTAGAGAACTCCGGCACTGGGATGAGTCTATGAGAAGTTCACACAAACCGTAGACAACGACAAGAGGAGCCTCTGAGAAGACGAAGCACCGCGTTTTCAGAAAAAATTAAACATAAATGGTTTTAAAGTATAATTCAGAACTATTATTCCACCAAGAATGGAATGCCTTTTATACATATTACCAGTATTTAGGGAACCTAAAATCTCAAAATGCAAACAAAACCCCTATAATATGGCATAGTGGCACAGTTCCCGGTGAAATAAATCTGATTTTGAATCCTGTATGCCCCAAACTTGTTTCTTCTTTATAGGCGCAAATTGAGTCAGCTAAAATGAATAATCACAAAAACAACTATAAACTGGACATGGTGTGTGCCCTGGTTGCCTCTGCAATCAAGAGGCTGAGGTGGGGAACTGCTTAAGCCAATGAGCTTGAGACCAATTTGGGCAACATGGTGAGATCCTGTCTTAAAATAACATTTTTTAAAAGCAACTGTAACTATCATACTTGTCAAGATCACTAGTACAATGTACAGAGTTGGATACTGTATTAAACATTCTGCTTTTGAAATCTTGATTCATATGGGTATTGGAATGACTTACCCATAGTGCTGTCAACTGAATTGTATTGCAAAATAAAAAAAAAAAGACAAAAGGTAGATTACTGAATCTATTATGAAAAGAAAAAATACTTTTAAAAAGGAATTACTTGCTTTAAATAAGATAAGCAATGAAAATTTTTGTCTGAATTTGTCAAATGTTACTGGACTGGACATTGTTATATATTAATGGAGTTTTTTGTCTGAATCTGTCAAATGTTAATGGACTAGACATCGTTAATGCAATCTTGACTGTGTATATTGTATATACTTATTGGATATAATTTTTCTTGTATTAGTTATAAGCTTTTTAAAATTTTAGACAAAAAAGGGGAAATGTGGTGGTATTGTGTTCCCCAAAATATTGTGCACCCTAATCAACTTATCTGGGGTCAGAGACAGAACAGCCACTAGATACAAAGGCTAGAAAATGGTGGCACTCACACCTTTAATCCTAGCACTCCAGAGGCAGAAATCCCTCTGGATCTCTGTGAGTTCAAGGCCACATTGGAAATGGACAGGCAGGGTGACACATGCCTTTAATCCCAGAAAGCGAGCCTTTAATCCC